TTTAATTAATGTTTGATTTATTGAAGCACAAACACAAAAACCAAGTTTTCCCTTAAGCCTTCAACTATAAAGTGAATTCTAGTTATAAATCTGGTAAATTTTAACACACTTTTTAAGGTGCTGTTGATAGTTGATCAACTCACACAGAAACTAAATATCCTTATATAATCCTATTTATAATCTTGGGTAAATTCTCTAACATACACTAAACTTCATTTATAAATTTACTAATTTCTATTTTAAACACTTTAATTGCCACTAACAAGTAAACAATTCTAAGAGCTTAACTCTAGGAAATACATTACAATAAAGGGATTTGTGTGTGTGTGTGAGGAATATTGGCCCTGAGCTAACATCTGTGCCAATCTTCTTCTATTTTGTCTGTGGGATGCCACCACAGCATGGCTTGATGAGTGGTGTGTATGTCCGTGCCTGGGATCCAAACCTGTGAACACTGGGCCACACGAACTTAATCACTGTGCAACCAGGCTGGCCCCTACAATAAAGTTTATTTAAAACTTTAAATAACTTTCATGAATGTTAATTTCTCTTAATCATTCCAATAGTTTCTAAATTTAGCCAAATACTTTCACCTTTGAACTTAAAATCACAAGTCAAAAAGTAATTACACAAGTATTCATTTTAAATTAGATTCACAAGGCTAATTTGTATGTACTCTAGTGGGCCTAATTCTCTGAAGTATAACAAATATTCTAAAGATCAAATACATTGATTATTCCTAAACTTAATATAAAAATATCAAAGCTAAGCATTTAATCAATTTCATCATTTCTATATTTATTTCAAATCTGACCATGGATAAAAGACTTACCCACTAAGGAAAGTAGTGATTCTCAAAGTGTGGTCCCCAGACAAGCAGCACCAGCATTACTTGGGAAACTATCAGAAATGCAAATTATGGGGCCCAAACTAGAAGTACTGAATCAGAAACTCTGAGGGAGGGGTCCAATATTTTTGTTTTAAGAAGACTTTCAGGTGATTCTGAGGCACTCAAGTTTGAGAATCATTGCTTTATTGTAGCCTCAACTACTCAGAGGCAGTTTTGTTCTAAAACACAGGTAATACAAAAGGCTTCAGTTCAGCTATCCTGCAAGATGAGCAGCAATTCTAAAATAGGTAAATCTACCTCATGCTTGAGAACCTCTGGACTAAGGAAACAATATTATGAACTCAAACTTGGAGTTACCATCAGAGCACACTCAGGTTGTTTATCAAGAAGAGATTCGTCTCCCCCTCTACCTCCCACCTTAGGAAATGAGATTAAGACTGCGGACATCAAGGGTTACCTTCCTCCATCACTGACGAACGCTGTGAGTTGTTTTTTTTAATAGTTACTGTAACATCTGGTACTCCAAATCTTTTAATTAGAGGCACTTGATCTTTCCTGATAGACTCCCTTCAAGATAAACCACTATCTAACTCTTCTAAATAATTTGCATCTGCAATTTCCAACCTAAAATACACCTAACTTGTCTAACACCTTCATTGGATTTTGCATTTTCACTTTGGTCATTTCAATAACTTTATAATTCTAAAGAAATTTCAATGACAATCCATCCTATCTCTTATCTAATCTAACTTGTTTTAATTTTAACACCATACATGATAGAATTCTGATTCTTCTCACTTTTTCCCCCCATCTGACAGGGCCATAACTCTTATAAATATAAAGGTAGCATTCAAATGGATTCTACATCCCTTATTTCTTTGTCTGGGTCAGTTTCTTTATCAGAAAAATGGGATAATAATGGTACCTATCTTACAGAGTTGTTATTAGGAGTAAATAAAAACATTTGCTAGTGCCTGTCCCATAGGAAATGTTCTTAGCAGCTATTATTCCTGTTGCCATTTCCCCCTGAAAGATAAGTTTTAAGTGCTAAAAGTAAACTAAAGAAAATTTCAATAGGACTGAGATGTGTTTAAAGTATACTGTCACCCAATGAGAAAACAGAGTCGACATAACAGGTCAGTTTATGATAAAAACTATAGTACAGTAAGTTGAGACTCTAAACTTGCTAAACATTTATTTACACTTATTTATTATCATATTATCTAGTAAATGCTTTTTCTTTTTAGATTGGCACTTGAGCTAACAACTGTTGTCAATCCTTTTTTTTTTTTTCCTGCTTTTTCTCCCCAAGTCCCCCCAGAACGTAGTTGTATATTCTAGTTGTAGGCCCTTCTGGTTGTGCTATGTGGGACCCCACCTCAGCACCTCCTGACCAGTGGTGCCACGTCTGTGCGCAGGATCCGAACGGCAAAACCCTGGGCCGCCAAAGCGGAGCACATGAACTTAACCGCTCGGCCATGGGGCCGGCCCCCAGCAAATACTTTTAAAGGCTACACATTATAGGCTTATTATGGTCATGCTTCCAAACAAGAGCTATACTCAAGGCCCAAAAATACTGTCTGAATCAAATCATAATTTACTCTTAAGCAGGAAAACGAATTGTATTATAAGGTGTTTCCTTTCCAATGTTATTAACTACAGCAACGGTGTGATAAGCTCCTTAATGTGTCTAAGTCCTAATTATGGTTTTCCTGAGGGGACTATAATGTTGGATTAAACGAACACCAAAAGCTGGTAAGAGTAAAAGCAGCCACCTTGGAGAGAAGTAAAGGAATCAGTAACACTAACAGTCTGGTAAGTGGTTTGTTTATAAAAGGAGTAAGACCAGAAACATTTGACCAAAATTTTATGAGGTTCATCCTTGATCTGTTAATGGTGAAACTATTTTATCAACACTATTACTGAACATGAAATGGTGAGGGGCAAGATCACTAACAACAAATGGGGTCCTGGAGTGCAGCCACTCTACATGTGTGGAAGTGTCTGTACAGAAATACTGCACAATACATAGGACATTGCAAAGAAGTGAAGGAAGGGTGACAGGCAACAGGAAACTTAAGCAGCTGTTATAAAAATCTGAAATAAGGCTAGTCACAAGCGGAAAGGGCAGAAGAAAGCCTTCAAACAGACTGACAGATATTCATTCTGAAGGACACAAATGCAAAGAGAAACCCTATAGTCAAAACCCATCTGGTAAGCAGCTGCAAAGAAAAGAGTTCTCATTTTAAGCAAAGCCTGGCTAGAAATTAATAACCATTTATCTTTTACTTGTATATATACATGTTATCTCTCAAAGGAGTCAATCTAGGAAACTAGACTTCTTCTAAGAATGGCAGGGGGTCATCAAATTATTGCTGGGGCACTTCTTTCTTGAACTGCCTTCAGAACTCTGTAGGTATAACTTCAGAGACCTAGGTTTTTACTTCCAAATGCTATCTTTTAGCTTACCACCCAATCATTTTCATCAGTTCTGTTGCAAATAAAAAAGAGCTCTAGAATTGAGAAACTCTGGCATCATCCAATCAACCTCATTTACAAACAAGAATATATAAGCCCAAAGAGATTAAGTAACTTGTACAAATTCTTTCGGCCAGTTAACGCTAGGATGTTCTTGCCCACCTCACTGTGGTCATAACTGTGACATCACAAAGCCTCTCTCACTTGTGTCAGAGACTTGGGGGCACCATGAATATTAAACAATGTGCCATGGGTTCATAAGGTTGCTTCAATTAAAGAGGAATTTGTATAGTATTTTGAAGCAACTCTGAAGGAGAGTGTCAGATCTGGCAGTGTGCTCAATAAATGTTTCTGAATGAATGAGTTGGATGTATATGTTTGGGGATATTTATTAAAATATTGACCATATTCCTTCCTGGTTAAGCTCCACCACATATTTCTCAATTCTCCATCTGTTAGAGGCTGGTCACATATCAACCGCTTTCAATTAGGCAACTGAAGACTCATTAAAAAAAAAAAATCCTTTTTTCTAACAATACTTGAAAGTTCCAGCACTCATCCCCGGTCCCACGCTTAAGACGACTGAGCATCTGGTTAATGTCCTTCAAAGTACAAAGTATCTCCCTTTTTCATGTTCTAATTCCATAAACAGGAATTCTAAAGACAAGATATTTTATGTAAAGTATGAAAACTTATTAAAAGGAGCCGTGCTAAACTGGATTTTAATATTCAAGTTTCTTCAAAGCTTAAATCACATACACACAGCTTAATAGATGTCCTCACTGTTCCACTGCTTTCAAACGAATGGCAGGATGTGAGATTATGGATAGATTTTACATTCTTTGTATTTTTCTTTATTTTCTAAACTCTCTAAGACTCATAAATTTACTCTCATAACACCAAAACGCATTACAAGTAACAAAAATAAGACAAAATATAAAAGACTAGGGGGAGGTCTGCCACTTTAGAGAAAGCCAAAGATACTGGACAAGTTACGATATGCGGTATGCTAATAGTTCTTCAGCAAGGCTTGTCCATAAGATATCAATCTCATGCCACTACGACTGACTCTTTTTAAAGAATGGTACAAAGCCATGAAGATTAAAAAAATAAATAAAAACATAACAGTCAGGATAAATGGTAACTGAGAAAAAAGTTTCTAGGTCCTGTCACCTCAGGACACAAAAGTCACCTCGGTTGCAGCGTAAGTGAAGCATTTTCTCTTGCCATGTAGTACTAAGCAAGTGCTGAAGTGACTCCAACAGTTGGCAAGTATCTAAGAAAAACATTGAGCCAAACCCAAAACAGGCCAGGCAGGGTGTCCTCACTGATTCCAGGACCCAAACCACCGGCGTCAGGGGCTCACCAGTCCCCTCCCAGGGGGAGGGCAAACGAAGGGCGCGCACCCCTGACAGACTTGCGGGGCAAGAAAGCTCGATCTCGGGGCCGAAAGCAGGAAGAGCAGAGCAGGAAGGGCTGCGCCGCCGCCAGCAGCAACGCTTCCGCGCCCAGAGCCCGAGCCGGCCGCGTCCTGCCCTCCCGCCGCCCCGGCCCCCGCCGCCGCCGGCCCAGGCACACCTGCCACCGCGCCCCCACCCGGCGCCCGGACCGCCGCCTCCCCCCGCCCTCAGTCCGGTCGGCCGCGCGGGAGGCGAAGGAAGGCTGGGCTCACCGGGTCCCTCCGGGCTGGACGGCGCCGGGGGCCGGTGGGGCGGGGCCCCGCACCCGGGGTCCCCCTGGGCGGGCTCCCTCAGGTAATCCTCGAAGCGCACCTGCCGGGCCTCGCCGCCACCCCCGAAGCCCCACAGGCGGCTGGCCGTGCCCCGCAGAAGGCGCCCGCTCTTGCCCGTGAACGTGGTCAGGTAGTCCATGCTGCGGCGGGGCAGGCCGTGGGGCAGAGCCCGAGCAGGCGGACGGTTACCGCGGCGGCGGCCACTAGCTGCGCGCCCGCCAGCCCGCCCGTCAGCCCGTGAGACCCTCAACGGGGGCGGCGGCTCCGCGCGCCTCACAGGAGGCGGGGAGGGGGAGGGGGCGCCCCGAGCCTTGCCCGGGGCGGACCATCGGGAACTACGCGTCGGGGGGACAGAAGCTGGCCAAAGTTTTGAAAAGTTTTTCTGATCGCTTCCAGACGCCAAGTCAGGGAAAACTTAGCTTGTGAAGTAGGTACATTCTTCCTGGAACAGAAGCTGGATCGGAAAGCTGGCGGCTTTGAGGCAAGCAGAATCGGTCCATCCGCTCCCCCCCCCCGCCCCACTCCAATGGAGCAGGCCTGCCCCACCCCGCCCCGCCCGGACCCGACCGGACTTTTGGGACTGCGGGAAAGGGCAGAGCCGGGTCTGAAAGTGGCCCAAGGGAGGCTTTGCTGCAGTTGCAGAGTCTGGGGGACTAGGAGGGCAGTGTCAAAAAGTTTGTGTGTGTGTATGTGTGTGTGTGTGTTAGGGGACGGGGTAACTTTGCAGCTTGTAATTTTGCGGGGGGGGGGGGTGTGCGGTGGGAGGGAGGAAGGAAGGAAGGTTAAAGATAAAAATGCAGTTATAGGTAAAATAAAACCAACCCTAAAGGATAAAATACTCCTTAGGAAGCATTATGAGACCCTCTTCGTCAAATAAAGCAGCATTAGTCACGTTGTAAGTTCGTTGTGGCATTATGAGCTGATGTTAGAGTTTGACATTGCATGAATCTGTCCTGTCAGGCAAGGTACAGACGGGCTTAGTGTGCAACCTTATGCTCCTTCAGGCCGAGAAAGCGCGCTGACTTTTGACAGAGATTTACTGCCGGATTTCGTGTCCTGTGAGATCTGGTTATTCTCTTGGTTTCAATTCACACCTGTTTATAGCTCTTTTAGTTCTTCCCACGCGTTAAATAAATAAACCCTCTTTCTCGGAATTACCAGTTTATTCATGTATTTGAAGGAAAAGTTTGAATTACTTAGGAAGTTGAACAGCTAATCATACCAAATAATAAAGTCCAGAAAATTTTTCAGGAACTTAAGCTTTCTACAAAACTATTAAAGATTTCCCCCCTCCCCTCTTTTTTAAATCATTGGATCTTTTTCCCACCATCACCATTTTCAGCTTAAATTTTTAGTAGTTTGGGCAGATTTCACCATTCTAACATCAGCATCACCTTTATACCTGGTTAAAAATATAGAACTTTAGGGCTGTACCCCTAGATTGTAATTCACAGTGTTTGTGAGAAAGGACTCAGGAATCTGCCTATTCAGCAATCATCCGCGTGTTTAGATGTGCTGCTTAGGAAAGCACTGGTCCAGACTTCCTTCTCTACCTCCTACAGGCCCATTTGGTAAGACAGTAAGTGGGTCCTGGTTTTTCTGAGATCTCTATTTGATAAGGAAGCATTACCATGCTTAGCACCACTTCTAAGATCTCAAAGAGGCACAGTAAACTTTAAAAATCGAATTGCAATGACTTAAGTTTAATTCTGATTAACTAAATTGAAATTCTTTTTCTAAGATATGTATTACATCTTGAAATTTGCCATTTAGTTTGTAATAAACATATCAAATTAGCGTTTTTTATACCTGATTAAATCTGCACTTTTAGGTCCAACTTTAGCAGGAACCTGTACTCTACCAGTTCAAATAAAGGTTTACGGGCAGTTAACCCATCAGTTTTTTCTGCTTTTATTTCATGGAAAGCCAGAGCTGCTGGAGAAAAATGTATAAGCTTGATGATTAAGTGCCTTACAATTTTTGATTTAAACTCAGCTAAGCCCTAATGTCTCCAAAATCCTTTTACTCATATAATCAGCTTTCTTTTTTATTCTTCACATTTGTTGTCTAGTTCCGAAATGTCACCGCTCTCCTGAAGTTACCAAATTCATCACTCGAACTTGTTACTTTGCCTTCTACCTGAACCAGAAAATCACAGGCCATCAAATATGAACACTCTCACTTTTCTTCCCTTTTTCTTTTCAATCTACAACAAGCTCATCTCCACATTTTGCCTCAGAAGGAAGTCCTTATTCCTGTCCATGCCTCTCCTTCTCCAAATTAATTCTTAATCTTATTCTGCTTTATGTTGTCTACGACTTGCCAGCCTTATTATTCTTCTCTGTTGTATTATTTTGCTCTCTCTCTCCTCCAGTTTCTTCCCCCTTATCCTACCTATATCATCCACATAAATCCCTCCCATCTTAAAAGAAAAGTTTCCTTATATGCTGTGCCTGCCTCTCCAGCAACTCTTTGCCTCATTTTAAAAATACCTTTTTGACATGATTTACAAACCATGTAATTCAGCTGTTTTAAGCATACAATTCCATGGTTGTTAGTTTATTTGCATAGTTGTTAAACCATCACCAAAATCTAATTTTTGAACATTTCTGTCACCCCAAAAAGAAGGGTCCTATCGATTTGAAGGCACTCCCCATTCCTGCCCCCAGGCATAGGCAACCACTAATCTACTTTCTGTCTCTATGGATTTGCCTTTTATAGGCATTTCCTATAAATGGCATCATATAATATCTGGTTTTTGGTATCTGGCCTGTTTAATTTAGCCTAATGTTTCTGAGGCTTATTCATGTTGTAGCATATATTAGTACTTCATTCCTTTTTATTGCCAAATAATGTTCCATTTTATGGCTATGTCACATTTTATTTAATCCATTCATCAGTTGATGGACATTTGGATTGTTCCTATGTTTTGGCTGCTATGAATAATGTGATGAACATCCATGTACAAATATTTTTGTGGACATGTTTTAATTTCCTTTGGTATATACCTAGGAGTGGAATTGCTGGTTCTTTATATATATATAAAACATAGTGTGTTTAACATATACAACATGATGATTTGATACAAGTATATATTGTGAAATGATTACCGCAGTAAGGTCAGTTAACACTTCCATCAATTCACATAATCATTTTGTGTGTGTGTGCTGAGAACATTTAAGATTTACCATCTTATCAACTTTCAAGTATATAATGCAGTGTTGCTAACTATAGTCACCATGGTATACATTAGATCCCCAGAATTTATTGATTTTACAATTGTAAAAAATTACAATATTTATTTTCCACCTGTAAATACAATTGTATTTAAACAATTGTAAGTTTGTACGATTTGAACAACATCTCATCATTTTCTCCAACCCCTAGGCCTTAACAACCACTATTCTACTCTCTGTTTCTATGAGTTCAGTTTTTTTAGATTCCGTATGTAAGTGAGATCAGGCAGTATTTATCTTTTTTTGTCTGACTTATTTCACGTAGCATAATGCCCTCAAGTTCCATCCATGTTGTTGCAAATGGCAGGATTTCCTTCTTTTTATGGCTGAATAATATTCCATTGATATTTATACCACGTCTTCTTTATCCATTCATCGAATGCTGGACATTTAGGTTGTTTCCATTTCTTGGCTATTGTGAGTAATGCTGCAGTGAACATGCAGGTGCAGATATCTCTTTGAGATAGTGATTTCATTTCCTTCAGATATATAGACAGAAGTGGGATCACTGGATCATGCGGTAGGTCTATTTTTAATTTTGTGAGGGACCTCTGTACTGTTTTCCACAGTGGCTGTACCAATTTATATTCCCACCAACAGTGCGTAGGGTTCCCTTTTGTCCAGATCCTTAACAACAGTTATGATCTCTTGTTTTTTGATGATAGCCATTCTAACAGGTGAGGTGATATCTCTTTGTGATTTGATTTGCATTTCCCTGATGATTTGTAATGTTGAGCATCTTTTCATGAACCTCTTGGTCATTTGTATGTCTTCTTTGGAAAAATGTCTATTCAGGTCCTCTGCCCATTTTTAATTGGATTGTTTGGTTTTTGGCTATTGGGTTTTATAAGTTCCTTAAATTTTGGATATTAACCCCTTATCAGATAAAAGGTTTGAAGATATTTTCTTCCATTCCTTAGGTTGACTTTTCATTTTGTTGATTGTTTCTTTTGCTATGCAAAAGCTTTTAGTTTATTGTAGTTCCACTGATTTATTTTTGCTTTTGTTGCTTGTGCTTTTGGTGTCATATCCAAAAACTCATTGCCAAGACCCATATCAAGGAGATTTTTCCCTGTTTTCTTCTAGGAGTTTTACAGTTTCAAGTGTTTAATCTGTTATGAGTTAATTTTTGTGTATGTTGTAAGATAGGGGTCCATTCTTTTGCATGTGCATATCTGGTTTTCCCAGCACTATTTATTAAAGAGACTGTCCTCTCTCCATTTAATATTCTTGGCTCCCTTGTCAAATATTAGTTGATGATACATGCATGGTTTATTTCTGGGTTCTGGAGTCTGTTCCATTGGTCTATGTGTCTGTTTTTATGCCAGTACTATAATGTTTTGATTACTGTAACTTTATAATATAGTTTGGAATCAAGAAATGTGATGTGTCCAGCTTTATTCTTCTTTCTCAGGATTGCTTTGACTATTTGGGGTCTTTTGAAGTTCTACATGAATTTTAGGATTGTTTCTTCTATTTCTATGAAAAATGCCATTGGAATTTTGGTGAGGATTGCATTGAATATACAGAATGCTTTGAGTACTATGTACATTTTAACAAGATTAATTCTTTCAATCCATGAACACAGGATACCTTTCGATTTTTTTTGTGTCTTCTTTGATTTCTTTCATCAAGATCTTGTAGTTTATAGAGTAGAGATCTTTCACCTCTTTGGTTAAATTTGTTCATAAGCATTTTATTGTTTTTGATGCTACTGTATATGAGATTGTTTTCTCTATTTCTTTTTCAGATAGTTCATTGCTAACATATATGAATGTAACTGACTTTCTATGTTGATTTGTATCCTGCAACTTTACGAAATTCATATATTAGTTCTAACAGTACTTTCATGGAGCCTTATGATTTTCTATGTATAAGATCATATCATGTGCAAACAGAGACAATTTTACTTCTTGCTTTCAGATTTGGATGCCTTTTATTTCTTTGTCTTGCCTAAATGCTTTGGCTAGAACTTCCAGTACTATGTTGAATAGGAGTGGTGATGACAGTGGGCATCCTTGTCTTCTTCCTGAACTTAGAGGAAAAGTTTTCACCCTTCCCCTGTTGAGTGTGATGTTAGCTGCAGGCTCGACATATATGTGGCCTTTATTTTGTTGAGGTACATTTCTTCTATACCCAATTTATTGGGAGTTT